CAAGTTTTTCGTCATTTGACAGTTCACAATAGCATTTTTGGGAGATTTAATGTTATCTGATATTAGTGTTACAGAGGTAAAAAAATAAGATGCAAAACAATCCATGCTGCCTTTCTTTTAGGCTATTTTGTGTGTATCTTATTCCACACCCTAAGGGATAGTTACATCAGGCTCTGTGCAGCTAGAAGCTGATTTGACTGTGGATTTGACATCATTGAACAAATTGTGTCTGTGGTTGTGTCTGTGTTTATGTGAGTTGTAACAAGTCAAGTAGTGAGAATTATTAGATCTAGTATAAGATCAAAACTAGGATCATGTAGAGGTGTTTGATTTATAAGAACTTTAGCTCGGTGTATACATGCTGTATGTATTTCTGAGCTGGACGCTGTATGTGTGTTCCTGTGTTTGCATCTCTGTGTGTGATAGATATTGATGGCTAGTGACGTTAAGTAATGTTGTCCAGGTTCTCTGTTGCTAAAGTCTGCATCAGCAGCAGATTTTCACCTACACTGGGGTTAACCAGGTTAACTTCAGATACACACAACACAGGCGTGTACACACAAACATGCTCACTCACACACACACGCCAGTGGCACGACCTTTCCAGTGAGAGCGTGAAATTGGTCATGGCATTTAGGATAAGATGAGTTCCCCAGCAGATTAACACACACACACACACAAATTCCTGTGACAGGCCATCTGAATGTCCACATATCCATTAGAGTAGGCTCCTCACTCAGCAGGTTTTGTCAAAACATTCAGAGTGAAAATAGGATGTTATCCTTTACTCTGCAACACAGTCCACCACACACACACACAAAAACACATGTTCATAGATTTTATGCATTGAACCAGACTTGTAAGGAAATATTTGGTAAGAAAAATGGTTTTCTGTGACAAATTAACTACATTGTCATTTTATGAATAAACCAGTAAGTGCAAGACTTGCACTATACGCTGCTTTCATCTGCTGAATAATAATGTTGTTAACAACGTCTTGTCCTGCCACCATTCGCTTACTTGGGATTTAATTCTGACTGAAGTCTAGTTTAGAAATAGACTATAGGTCTGTAGCATCTTACTTGTTTTAATCGGTTACATCACGATTTTTCATGAGATGACAGTGTGTTCTGCAATGAAATGTTTAAAGAGTCAAGAGTCAGAGGATTGATTAAGTACTGACAGAGATGCCTTGTCATCAGCACGACAAACTGAATAACTTTGTTTTCTATTACAGTATAATGTTACAGAGGACTGGCTATTTGCAGAAAGATGAAAGCAATATAATTAAAACCATGTACACTCAACCTATAGCATGTGCCGTGTTTTTTTTGCTGCTGGTACTGTGTGTGGATGATGGAGCGCCATCAAAACCTTTTGTATGAAGAAGAGAATGAACGTGTGCAGTTTCCTTTTAACTCCCAAACACCGGTCCCTCGACTAATTAGCAGGCTGGGAGAGAGGGAAGGTAACGCAATGTTGAATGAAAAGAAAAGAGACAGAAGAAAAAATCCCCTCCCTTTCATTTGGTATGGTAATATTTCCTGCTCACATACTCACCGTGGCTATGAGAACAAGCAGTTGGGGGACGATAGAGACCGGGGGAAGCGAGTGAGGAAGGGGAGAGGTGGGAAGCCCTGAGAGATGTACAGAGTGATTTGTTTTTCAGAAAGAGGGGGAAATAGAAGAGGAAGGAAGAGTGGGAAGGTGGAGGAGGTAGAGAAGACGAAAGACAAATGAAAAGGGAGGGAGATATGGGAGAGGGGAACTTACTACATCTCGCTCTTCAACTCATCCCCAGCGGAGAGACGAAGAGTGAGATGTAGTGAGAGATTTCTGTTCGAAGTGCAGAAAGAAAAGTGCCTTTTGATATGTGAAACGTTTTGGGGCACAGAGCTGCGGATAGACAGTCAGGCAACCACAAAGACAGATTGGGAGAAGGGGAAAAGCAGCACGGACAAACAGAGAGGCAGGCAGTTACTGTAGGTATGACATCAGATAGATTTGAAGCCAAACAGCATGACAGACAGACAAGCAGGAGGCAGACAGAACGAACGAGAACATGCAAACATACCAGCGCTCCTGTGGAATTACATGTCCCAAGACACACTCTACTGTCTGTGTGTGTGTGTGTGTGTGTTTACATTATGTCTCCAGAGAATCCCCTGCTGCTTCATTAGATCCTGTTAATAATCACCCAACAGGGAACCGTGCTCTAGACTCTGTTCACACACACAAACACGCAAATATACAGATATTCAAGGCCTTTAGATTTTGTTCATTCTGCAGAGAGGAAGTGTATTTGTCTTCCTAAGTCTTCTTTATAAACTAGCAGACAGTCCATATTACCTGTTTTCAAAACCGTCTTTCTAAATTTAATCAATTAAATTGCAGCAAAAAAATTCAGAGATAGTATTTAATTACTGTGGCTCAGTCATTTAGAACCGTAAAAATGAGGAATAAATTAAATGGAATATAACTAAAATGTATTAATTTAGTGAATTATGTTGAATAAGTTAAATTTGAACAAAAATGTGATAGGACTATGTGACTGCTGTCTGCATTATCAATGACATGCTAAAATCCAAGATGTGCCTATGGTTTCACGCTTTTCCACTGATCAACAGTTAGTGGTGGTAACATGCAGAGAAACGTAGCAATGTGCTAACAAAGGCAGTGAAGAAGATGACCGCAAGCTTGCAAATGTTATATGATAAGGGAAATAAATTCCTATCTTATGTTGTGTTATCTGATAACTGTTACTTAAGCTTGTGTGTGTTTGTATGTGTCTCGTCCCGGGCTTTGGGTTGTGTGGCCTTTTGTCTTCTTAACATACTAACATTAATTTTATTTGTTATTGTCGTCTCTCTTTTTTTGTCTTCTTCCTTTTCCTCCCCACATGTCTGACTCACACACTTGTGGATTGTTTTGTTATCTGTTACCTGTCTTTCTGTCCTTCCAGTCGTAATTTTTAAAACACACAGGGAATTTTTTAACTCATTTCTGCTCACATCAGTTTCCTGCATCTTACATTACCTCCTCTCCCTTTTCTCTTGTATACAAAATAGGAGCCTTTTCCCCCTATTTTCACCCCCCAACCCTTTCTCTTCCCCCTGCCTTCCCCCTCCTCTGTGTGTCATACATAATGGGCCCAGTGCAAGTCTGCATGTGTCACACATGGGAGGAACTCCTGTGTTTTTTAATACATTTTTAATCCCGCCATTTGATGCCCCCCTTGTCCACCATAATTTGTACTGACTGCTGAACAAAATCAAAGGGCTTGTACTTGCTGCTTCTTGCCTCTGCTGCTCTCTGCTACAGAAAAATGCATTTTTTATATCACTTTTTTCCCTTCCTCCTCCCCTACACACACCTTGGTATGTTTATTTTGACATGAAAGTGGGCCTGCGTGAGAGCCTGGCTGTTGCAAGTCACTCCTCATTAGCGGTCTGATTTCCCTATTCTTTGTGTGTGTGTGTGTGTAAATGTACCGGCTCCGTATTATATAGTAGAGAATACCTCTGTGTTTTCTATTCAGTTATGTGTATTATTCTTCTCTCTCTTTAGATTTAGATTTACACGGGCTGCTGATTTTTCTCTCTTTATATTTCCCCCCTCTCTCTAATTCTGTGTCTCTCTGTCTCTGTGTCATTCACTGTCTTTGTTCCATAAAAGCAAGCATTTCACTTGTCATGGGACCATGTTTCTATGCAAACACATGCACACGGAGATAGTTTCAGTAAATGTACAGTTTCTGACATTTTTATATGACGTTGCTTGTACAAATGATGGTTTAGATTCCTAATCTCTTATCAGAGGATGTTTTTGTGTTACTCCAAAGGCTGTAATTAATTTAAATGTATGTTGTATTCTCGCAGAAGGTAGTGTGCTTTGATTGTTGTCTCAAACTTGCTTAATGTGTTTGGCTCCTTGTATGTGTGTCCAATTCTGTAAACTTGCATCTATGATTGCATTTTGCCTCAATTATAGCAGCAGATTTAAACAGTATGTTAGATTACAGTATAAATAAAGAAATGTATGTCTGTATTTATATATTTATGTAATTGTTCAACAGTGCGAGCGTTGCGCGCCCCTCTACAATGACAAGCCATTCAGGTCAGGTGACCAGCTCCAGCCTATGAACTGCCGGTCTTGCCAGTGTCACGGCCATGCCCTCTCCTGTCATTATGATGTCAGAGCCGATGACCAACCAGAGGAGCACTATCGAGGAGGAGGAGGCGTCTGTGACAACTGCATACACAACACCACGGGTACGGTGTTAGCAACATAAGTTAGCTAAATACCTTTTCACATTTTATAAGATCTAAATAAATGTAATCTTAAAAATGCCTTTTATTTTTCTTAATCAATCTTAATGGTAAAGCACTTTGAAACAATTACAGCCCAGATGTCATGAGCCTTCAGATGTTCCTTCTATCATTTCAAGATGTTGAGCTAGAAAATATCATTATGCTGAACAGCTATTTTAGTATTTTTGATGAAAACAACTGTAGTAGTATAGTCTGTATACAGATAATGTATACAGATTCCTTATTCCTTACTGTTTCAGACTGTCTAACCGGTAGTAAAGGAAATTAGAGGATTGTGAAGTATTTCATGCTGTTTTTTTTAATGATGATGCAAAACCACTTTCCCATTTAAACAAATATGGTTGAACCCTGTGTTGTTTCTACCTATTCCTTTGCTTTTCTTGCTCTCTGACTTACTGTGTCTGTCTCTCACCACCAGGTAAGAACTGTGAGGTGTGTATAAGTGGGTTTTTCAGGCTAGAGGACTCTGATCCCACTTTACATGATGTGTGTCAGCCTTGCAACTGTCACACAACTGGAACAGTCAACGGCAGCATGGAGTGTGCCCAGGTACACACCAACACAAACAGCAACTTGTTGACAACCAGTGAAACCCTTGTAACGTTGTCATTTTGATGACATGATGTGTGAAATGTTTTTAAATAAGTTGAAGTCCTCTGTGTTTCTCACCTCCAGGTAGGAGGTCAGTGTCAATGTAAGGCAGCAGTAACAGGTCGTCGGTGTGCAGACTGCTGGCCTGGTTGGTATGGTCTGAAGGCCTCAAATCCAAATGGCTGCATCCGCTGTAACTGCAGTGACATCGGCATCGTCAGCAACTCAACAGGAGGAGTTCCCAGTTGCAACCAGGACACGGGACAGTGCCAGTGTAAACCCCATGTCACAGGTAAACACACCATAGTCTAGAAACTAGAAGTTTTTTGTGTTTTTGATGACATATTCAGTGTTGGGTTGCCAGTGCCTCTCAGAGACAATCATGTGTGTCAGAGGAGACACTTGATTTTCAAAGCTGCTTCTTTGCAACGTTCAAGTTCATGCCATCCCCCCCAAACCCCACCCATGCAAGACAAGTAAATGCATTGTGGGTGAGGGTTCAGTTAAGGTAAGGAAAAGATAAAAGTAATTCCAGGTCAATATCAGCAATCTCTTCAGACCTTGTTATTTTACCACAGCAACACACCTCTCAAAGTAGTTTCTCCTACAAAATGTCCCCAAATGCTTTGTTGATAACTTGTGTTTTTCATTAGAACAGTTACTCTGTTTAATTGTCCAGTTATGGCGTCTTAATTAATACATAGACGCAGCTGCTCATTGGGGTGCACACAAAAGCAAAAGTGGATATACTGGGTGCACACACCAAAACAGGCATGTATATACACACAGATGCAAACGCACGCACATCCATATCCCAAAGTGTTTTGCCAGCCAAAATAAACAGGCTTTTCTGCTGGCTGTGCTTCCAGCCGTTGTGCTTCTCTTTGTGATAAATGGTTTCACTCTCTCCCCTGTGTGTCTTTGAAGAGCAGGCTCGTATGAAATGCAAAACCAGCCAACGCTCCTCAACTCAACGCATCATGGTTATTGCTAAGCCTCGCTATCAAGGGCCCACGGTTGTGCGTGTGAGGGTGGGCACGTGTATGTGAACTTGTAAATGTGTGTAAGAGTGTCTGTTTATGGTTATGTATATGTAGGGACGGAGAGTGTCTGGATGTGACCGTGTGTTCATGTACTTTTGTCTTTGCCTAGCTGCATATATTGTATGAATGAAGAGTTTTTGCGTGTGTGCATGCGGGCGTGTGTGCGTGCATGCGTGCATGCCATCAAGGACTAAGCTGGTATTTAATTCTCTAATTCAATGCCAAGTTGATTAAAACAAACTGCTGCAGCCCCTTGTATTTTTCACACTCCTTCTTACAAGACCCACTTTCGTTTTTTCTGTCCTTGTTTGTTTGGTTGCTCCCACAGGTATTTTTCAGAAATGAGATTTGATTATGGCAATTTATTACCGCCAAGCTGATACTTTGAGTAGAGCAATGGCAGGCACGCTTCAGAAGGACGGAATTGAAATGTGTGCGCACAGACACAGATACACACATGCAAACGCACACGCACACTCATAACAAGGTGCCAGAGTGCAGTGTGTACATAATAGTGTTTGAAATGGTGATGCATGAGCCTGTTAACCAGCTGGCTACTGATAAAAGGGCTGGGCCATGTCCCGAAAACACACACACATTGGCGTGCACACATGCACACCCCAACACAAAATTACCTCCTTTCTTTCTTGATCTAATATCTTCTAACACATTCTATTCTCTAATGTTCTCACTTTTCACTTCCTTTTTATTGTCTTCTGACTCTCTCTTCTCTTTTCTCTTCTCTAATCTCCTCTGTTGTTCCTGTTATTGTTTTGTTGGACCTGTCACAAAACAACAAAGAAGTTGCAAAAAATATGATTCGCAAATGTAAATAGAAAATACAATCACTTTGCCCTCAACTCTTTTTATAATGGCTGTGGGACTCTTTATAATCGTTAGTTTTATTTGGAAAAATTCACACAGTACAATACATCACAGCATTGTTAGGGTTGTAAGCATCATTCTGTCAGACTGCGTATTTACCACCAACACATTCAGACATGCACGTACACCTCACTACACACATGCACACACACACACACACACACACAGATGCATGTCTTCACCGCGCTATTATGAAATATGATCTATGGAGAGAAATACATTCATATCTATAAAATCATTAAAGTGGGCAGACCAGGGGAAATGCCAAGTGTCTGCCGCACACCGAGCAGGACACACACACAGACGCACACACACAGACGCACACGCACACTTGGT